CCCCACTCCTTGCCCTGCCCCGCCACTCCGCCCCTTCCCCACCCACCACACTCCCGGTGCCCCTACCCGCCTCCCTATTTCGCCCCATCACGGCGCCTGGCTCATCCGCCCTCTCCCCGCAGAGCCCGCGGTGCCCTTCAAGAAGCGGCTGCAGGACCTGGAGGTGCAGGAGAAAGAGTCGGCCACGTTCCAATGCGAGGTGCCGCTGCCGACCGCGGAGGCCGCGTGGTACAAAGAAGAGACGCGGCTGTGGGCCAGCTCCAAGTACGCCATAGAGGAGGCGGGCACGGAGCGCCGGCTGACAGTGCACAATGTCTCGGCCGACGACGACGCCGTGTACATCTGCGAGATGGCCGAGGGCAGCCGCACGGTGGCCGAGCTCGCGGTGCGAGGTGGGCGGCCAGGGCACAGGACACGGAGGGTGGGCTGGTTGCAGGGCGGGAACCCACGAGACTGGAGGGCGGCGGGCGGGGTTCCGTTTGACCAACCCCTGGCTCTGCCCACCCTAGGCAACCTAATCCGAAAGCTCCCGAGGAAGACGGCGGTGCGAGTGGGAGACACTGCCATGTTCTACGTAGAGCTGGCCAGGCCCGAGGAACCCGTGCGCTGGCTGCGGAACCACGAGGAGGTGGTGGCTGGTGGCCGCGTGGCCATCACCACTGAAGGCACGTGCCACACACTGACCATCTCCCAGTGCAGCCTGGAGGACGTGGGCGAGGTGGCCTTCGTGGCTGGGGACTGCCGGACGTCCACCCAGTTCTTCGTGTCAGGTAAGGGCCTGGGGAGTGCTCCTCCGACTGACGACTATGCCCCTTGTTTGGCGTGGAGCATGCTGGGTGGGCTTATGCTCAGCAGCTGCAGGGAGGGTGCAGTTCTGGTTCCCTTAGACCCCGAGTTGTTTGCAGTCCTCCCTCACTATGGAAAGTAGGAGTCTTGGTGGCCCTCTAACCCACCAACCAAATTAGAAGCTGGAGATTGTTCTAGAAGCACAGTGTATGCGCACGTGTGTGTGTCGTCCTATGTGAGCATTTCTTCTTTTTGTGGACTTTGGTGTCCGTATTGTGGATTGGGTGGCAGTTCCCTACCCTACCCTTGCACACGGGCCTCAGCACCTTTGGGAAGGTCGCTGTGCTCTGCCTCAGCCACTGCCCAGCCCAAGACCCCAATGCTCTGTCGAGGTCAAGGCTGAGAACTAGAAGATGTCTGTTCCCAGGCCACACGGACAGCTCATGGTGGCCCTGGGCAGTGTGGCTGCGGAAGCCAGGATGCCTTTTCTGCTACAAGTAGAAAAGTGGCCAGAGGGCAGGGCCAGGAGTCACGGGCCCACAGCCTCCCCTTAGGCTGGCCTTCCGCACCCCCTCCGCCCCCCGGCCTGCTGGGTTGTGGCCATTTCAGAGCTGGGATTCTGTGATGCCCTTCTCCTGGGTGATCCTGGACTTGGGGAAGGGGATCCCAATAAGTGACAGGGGCCTGTGCTCTGCCCAGCCCCCAGAAAGCCGCCCCCGCATGCTCCTGAGGCCCCTGTGGTGAAGGCTAGGACAGAGAGCTCCGTGACCCTCAGCTGGTCCCCCCCACCCCATGGGGACCGTCCCGTTGCCATTGATGGCTACCTGGTGGAGAAGAAGCGACTGGGCACCCACACCTGGAGCCGGTGCCACGAGGCCGAGTGGGTTGCCACACCCAAGCTGACTGTGGCTGGTGTGGCCGAGGAGGGGGACTTCCAGTTCCGGGTGTCAGCTGTGAACAGCTTTGGCCAGAGCCATTACCTTGAGTTTCCAGGGACTGTCCACCTGGGTAAGTGTGAAAGGTTCCACTCCCCATGGCTTGCAGGTAATGGCCTGTGGGGCATCTGCTGCCGAATCACCCAGACCTAGAGTATAGTGTGACCCCAGTGGCCCATGGATCCTCTCTATTAGGGAGGACCAGGGCCCTGATACTGCTGGAGTGTTCTCTGTGGGAAGGGACCCTGAGACAGGACTTGAGCCCCCAGGAACCTATTTGTGTCCACAAGCCCTAGGGGACTAGGTGGCACAGCTGCCCTGTCACTCCCAGGTTTCTGGGATTTGGAGGGGATCTTGGGTGGCTCTAACTTGTCCCTACTCACTCCTGAGCCATGCACCTTCTGGTGGGCTTCCTGGAGGAGGAGGCATTTGGCTCCTGGGCTTTAGGGGAAGAGGAGGTGAGGGCAGGGGCCTTGCTTCTTCCTGAAGTTCCCACCTGCAGTTCCTCAGCTGGCTGTGAAGACACCTCTGAAGGCAGTGGAGGCAGTGGAGGGCAGTGAGGTGACCTTCTCTGTGGACCTCACTTTGGCTTCGGCGGGCGAGTGGTTCCTGGACGGGCAGTCTCTGAAGGCCAGCAACGTGTACGTGATCCGCCGAGATGGCACCCGGCACACTGTCACCATCCGCTCAGTGCCTGCCAGCCTGCACGGTGCTGAGCTCAAGTTTGTGGCCAATGGCATTGAGAGCAGCATCCGCATGGAGGTCCGAGGTAGGGTGACCCCTGCCAGTGACCCCCAGGCCTCTCTAAGTTCTGTTTTCTCTGGGGGGTGGGGCCAGGGGGAGATTGTGGTCCCCAGGCCCCAGTGCTCCTGGAGAGTGCAGGTGCTCTGCTAGGTATGTGGCCCCAATGAGTGAGGCCCGACAGTGGAGAGGGTGTGCCAGGCAGCCTGCCCAGGCTGGTGGGAACCCCAGCCACAGGATGTGAGTGGTCAAGGGGCTGGAGGCCCCGGGTGATGCAGAGCCTCATGTCTCCATCTGTCTGCTCCCACTTCCCTCCCCCTACTCCTCTTTCCCCTCTTTTCTGATTGCTTCTCCTGGTCTGCATCTTGTCCTGTCTTCCTTTCTTGCTCTCCCTGTCTCCCTCCACCATATCTGGTTCTCACTCTCTTTCCACTTTTCTGTCCACTACCTTCTGCCCCCTGCCCTTCTGTTCCCTTCCCCCTGTCAATTTTCTCCTCTGTCCCTTCCTCCTCTGTTCTCTTCCCCCTCTTTCCACTCTCACTCTATCTACTCTGCCTCTGTTTCTTCTCCTCTGCTTACTCCTCTCTCTCTGCTTTCCCGTCTGTCCCCTCCCCCCTTTGCCCATTCCCCACCAGCGGCCCCAGGGCTGACCACTAAGCGTCCAGCAGCAGTGCAGGAGGTGCTGGCCCGACTGCATGAGGAGGCACAGCTCCTGGCTGAGCTATCGGACCAGGCTGCAGCTGTGACGTGGCTCAAAGATGGCCGGGCGCTGCCCCCAGGCCCCAAGTATGAGGTGCAGGCTTTGGCGGGGCAGCAGGCACTTCTGGTACGGGACGTGGTTCGAGATGATGCTGGCCTGTATGAGTGCATCAGCCGTGGGGACCGCATCGCCTACCAGCTGTCGGTCCAAGGTGTGTGTGTGTTCATGTGTGTCTGTGTTCTCCTGGCCACTGCCACAGCCATAGCTGGCTGGGCTTTTTGTGTCCAGCTCTGGGAAGGCTCCAGGGGATTTGGGCAGTGGGAGCTGATGTTCTCTCTAGAGGCATGGGTTTGAGGGCTGGCTCATTTAACCCTGTGGGGCAGTGGTTTAGGTGACCCTCCCTCGGGGTTGGGGGAGGTTTGGCTTAGTTGACCCCATGGGGACTGGGGGCAGGAGGCTCAGCTTAATATGGGGGTAGGTGGGGTCTCCCACTCAGTAGGGAGAGGGATGCGTGGGGGACAACCTAGTAGTCCATGGTGCTGGGTGGTTGGAAATCAGCTGACCCTGTCTGAAAGGGACCCAGACCAGGGTCCTGCCTGGTCCCGAAGTCGGGAGCGCCTCTGTCCACTAGCGCATGGGCCTGTGCATAACACTCCTCAGTCTCCTGACCCTGCGGCCCTTGCAGGACTCACACCCTTTCTGCACAAGGACTCTGCTGGTGGCTGTGTGGATGCAGTGGCTGGGGGCCCAGCCCAGTTTGAGTGCGAGACTGCAGAGGACCACGTGTCAGTGCGCTGGTTCAAGGACGGCACAGAGCTCGACCGCTCCTGCCTGCGCTTCTCGCAGGAGAACATGGGCACACGGCACCGACTAGTGGCTACCTCGGTCACCAGGCTGGACGAGGGCACCTACTCATGCCGTGTGGGTGAACACTCTGTGGATTTCCGGCTGCGTGTCTGCGGTGAGCACATGCCTCCTGGGCTTGGTGGGTGCAGATCAGGCCCCATTTGGCACTTGCAAGACCAAGCCACTTGGCCAGTCATTTATTCTGCTAATGCTAGGGTTGTGGAAGATTCTTCGATTTGTGGAAAGAAGTTACCCACAAAACATTGACATGGATGAAGAATGTAAGATAAAAAGGAAATATGAAGTCCTTATTCTCCTTTTAAAGATGAAACAAGGCTTAGAGGACTCAAAAGCTGCTAGAAGCATCCTCAGTAGGATAGGCTTGGATCTCGGTGAATCTGAGGTCTTGGTTCTTTCTAGAACTGGGGCTTCTCGGTGCATCCTCTGAGTCCTGCTCTGCCCTAGCCGGGCCACCAGGAGAGTCTCGGCCACCCTGCTACACCTTCCTCCCTCTGTCTCCAGGCACTGGTCAAGCCACCCGTGCATGGGAGGGCTGTGTTGCAGTACGTGACTATGAAGATCCCCTTGAGGACCTGCAGCTGCCTGGGGTCTGAGCCGCTGTCGTGGTTCCAGGGCTCACCTCTGTGCATCCTCTAACCGTGCATCCCTCCCTGTGTCCAGAGCCCACAGCCGTGTTTGCCAAGGAGCAGCCAATGCGTGGAGAGGTACAAGCTGAGGTGGGTTCCAGCACCACACTGAGCTGTGAGGTCGCCCAGGCGCAGACGGAGGTGACGTGGTACAAGGACGGCAAGAAGCTGCATGGGAGCTCGAAGGTGCGCATGGAGGCCAAGGGCTGTGCCCGGCAGCTGGTGCTGCAGCAGGCAGGGAAGGTGGACGGCGGAGAGTACAGCTGTGAGGCCGGGGGCCAGAGGGTCTCTTTCCACCTGGATGTCACAGGTCAGTTGACAAAGCAAACATTTGGCCACCAGGGGAACAGGCCTGGAGGAAGCCAGTGTGGGTGGGGTGGGGCTAGCTAGTGGGGGGCAGCACTCAGCAGCTTCATCAGGCCCATTTGGTCAGTTACCTGGTGCAAATACCCCCAAAACGTAGAGGCCCGAAAGAACAATTGGTTACTGTTCATGATTTCATGGGTCAGTGGGGATGGTGCATTTCAGCTGGGACAGGAGGAGCCAGCCTGGCCTCATTCATGTGGCTGATGTCCCAATTAGGATGGCTTCCATGGACAAGGCTGGCTGGGGTGACAGTCCTCTCTCTTCTGTGATGTTGGCTGGGCTCACTCCTATGTCTGGAACCCCTCACGACATCTCATCCACAGGCCTTTCTCCATGTGGACAGCATGGGCTCCTTCATGTGGTGGCTAGGTTCCCCTTGGGGAATAGTAGATGCTACAGGGCTCACTAATGTCTGTTTATGATCATCCCAGAATGTGACCTTTGTGTCTGTTGTACAAAGCCAGGTGTAAAAGCACCCTGGTTCCAAGAGGTGGAAAGTAGACCCTTGAGGCTAATCAGAGACCACTTCCAACAGTGTATCACAGGGATGTCACAAGGACTCAGGCTCTTTCTGAGCATGTTACCTTTTTCTTTCTAATGCTTATTGCCTCATGGTCATAAGATGGCTTTCACAGCTCTAGCCATCACGTTCAAGATGGGAAAAATGTGAAAGAGTGGTTTTTATTAATCAATCAATTAATTAATTAATTAATTTACTGCTGTGCAACAAATTACCACCAAATCAGTGGCTTAAAACAACACCTGTTGATTGGCTCACAGTTCTGTAGGTCAGAAGTTTGGGCATGGTGTGGCTGGACTCTTTGTTCAATCTCAAAGGCTGGAATCCACAAGCCACTGGCTTAGTTCTCTGAGGGTCCTCTTCCAAGCCCATCCAAATTGTTGGCAGGATTCTTTTTTGTGGTTCTGGGTCTGTGGCTGTTTCCTGGCTGGTTGGTAGCCAGGGGGTCGCTATTGGTCCTTTGTGATGTGGCCCCTCCATCTTCAGGCCAGCATAGACAATCCTCTTTATGTCTAGTTACTCTCTTATTTAGCATCTTTGGCCAGGAAAAGCCCCTCCCTTTCAGGGCTCACCTGCTTAGGTCAGGCCCTCCCAGGGTCATTTCCTTTTGATGAATTAAGAGTCAGCTGATCTGGGACCTAAATTCCTTCTACAGAAGCCCTTTAGGGCAGTGCCTGGATTAGTGTTTGGTGGAATAGCTGGGAGAAGCTGTGACTACTATGGGGCAGGGGTCTTGGGGCTTTTCTACCTAGCACAGGCAGTCACCTGCTATCCCCTCTGTTTAGAAAATGGACAAGAGCCTGAAGCAGATTTTCCCTTATGCCTCCTAGCTGGGTGTGGGTTCCATGGCCATGCATCACTCCAGGCAGCTGAGAAGGTGAATCCCTGGCCTTCCTGCTTTGGTAGTGGGACATCGAGGGTTGTGTGTGTCCATATCCTTGTTGGGGACCCTTTAGAGGTGGGTCTGCTGGTGGGGGCTGTGCTATGGGTCTGGCCCATGCCCACACCAGGGTGGCCAGTGCCCTGATTTTGATGTCCCCTTTGAGGCTGGCTGTGGAGGGGTCAGAGTGTGGACTGGGTCAGACCTCACTCGTGATTCTTAGTAGCTGGGTAACCTAGGGCAAGTTGTTGATGTTGTGTCTCCTCAAAATCCATGCCCACCTGGAACCTGAGATTGTGGCCTTATGCTAAAATAGGGTCTCTGCAGATGTCATCAGTTAAGGATCTCTAGATGAGCTGACACTGGATTAGTGGGTCCTGAATCCAGTGACAGAAAGGAAGGGGGGATTTGAGATACCTGGGGCACCAGCAGCTGGAAGGGACAGGGAGTGTGGCCCTGTGACATCTCGATATTAGCCTTCAGAACTAGAAGAGGATAAATTCCCATTGTTTTAAACCCCTATTTGTGGTCATTTGTTCCGGCTGCCCTGGGACCTCTTGTAGTCGCCCTCTGTGCCTCAGTTTCCTCACCTGTGAAGTGGGCTAGTAAAAGAACTTCTAGGACTGTGCTGAAGGACTGCCACTCTGCAATGGCTCTGGCTGCCTCCCCACAAGGCATTGTGAGTCTTGGATGCTGGGGTTCTGGGGATGAGGCAGGTAAGGGAAGGGGGCTTACCTTGCTTGGGGGTGGGCCAGAGGCCCAGGCAGCAAGATCCTCATGTTGGGTCGGGGGGGTGAGCCCAAGTGTGTCGAAGGTGGCACTCCGGGGAGTGTGCATGCAGCCGGGTGTCGGGAAAGTCCTGGACGTCAGCAACTGGCTCTGTGTGAGGGTCGGGCAGAGGACTGAGCAGGAACCATGCCAGGTTGTTATGGCCAAGCTTCTCAAACTGAGGTTTTCCCTTGGGGACACACTACTCAAAACCAGGGCATACCGGCTTGTGTGTCCACAGGCCAACTCAGCTTTGTCACGTTTATGCACAAGAGAGGGGACGCTTACCCCTGGGCCAGAGGCTTCCGAGTGGCCATGCAGCGAGGGGCTGGAACCCCCATAGGCTGCCACAGCTTCACCCTAAACTAATGGTCTTTGCATAGAGTTTTCTTTCAACAAACTTCTTGAAAAAATTTAAGGTGCCCCTCCAAGGCTTTCTTAGCAATAACATCTGTGCAGTTTGCACTGGAGAGGCTAATTCTGTTTTCTTCCGGTGTACGTTAAATTGACATGCTACTGTTAAGATAAAAATCGTCCACTCTCACTCCACTGGAGGCCTGCCACCCACTTCGGACACTTAGGCTGATGTCTCTCACCCAAGGGAGAAGAGTTGTGAGATGGGGTCATTGGTGACACAGTGAAGCCCAAACCACTAGTTTCCAGTGAGCGAATTTGATGTATAATGGGACGGGGATTCTCATGTACTGTTAATTCCACTTCTTGCCTTTTTTTGGGTCCTAAAGATGTTTTTACCTAAGAACATGCAATTTCCACCCACTTGCCTTAGGAAAGTCTCTGCTAACACAGAAGTACTGGAAAATTTGGGTATGTCATTATTTCAGCATCATGCTGCATTTCAATTAAAAAAAAAGGAAACCTGTAAGGGGAGGTGTGGGATGAGTTAGCTTGTGAAGCAGTGGATACATCTCTCTGTGTCCCCTCACAGACAGCACAGTGTTGCACCCACAGAGGGGAGCTGGGCCTCATGGAGTTGTGTGTGTCCACATCCTTGCTGGGGACCCTTTAGTCCGCGTCTGTTGGTCAGATCGTGGCTGCTGCTTTAGATTTTTGATACGGTGGATTATGTTGGTTGTTTTTTTTTAGTTGAGTAATTCACAGGGCACAAAATTCACCTTTTTACAATGTACAGGGCTGTGGGTTTTAGTATATTCGCAAGGGTGTGCAACCACACTACAATCTAATTCTTGAACATTTTCATGACCCCAAAAAACCCTGAACCCAGTAGCAGTCACTCCCATGTCCTACTCCCCAGCCCCCGGCTACTGCTAATCCATTTTCTGCCTCTCTGGATTGACCTGCTCTGGACATTTCACTTAAATGGAATCATGTGATACGTGGCCATTTGTGTCTGGCTTTTTCTGCATAATGATTTCAAGGCTTATCTATGCTGTAGCACATGTCAGTATTTCATTCCTTTATATGGCCAAATAATATTCCATATACCATCGTTCGTCTATTCTTTCATCAGCTAATGGACAGTTGAGTTGTTCCCACTTAAAACTTTTTAAAATTATTTATTTATTTTAAAATTTAAGTATAGTTGGTATACAATATTATATTGGTTGTATTAGTTTCAGATGTGCACTGGTAGTACTTTGAGATTTTTATACCTACGATGTTACTACCCAACTAATTCTAGTAAACATCTGTCACTATGCAAATTTATCACAATATTATGACTATATTTCCCTTCACCTTTTTCATTCATCCCCCCACCCCATCCCTTCTGGTCACCATCCTTTTGGTCTCTGTTTCTATGAGTTTGTTTTTGTTTTATTTTGCTTTTTTTCTTTTAGATTCCACATATAAGTGAGATTATATGGTATTGGTCTTTCTCTGTCTGACTTATTTCACTTAACATAATAATCTATAGATCCATCCATTTTGTAAATTTCAAGATTTCATTACTTTTTATTGTTGCTTAATATTCCATTGTATGTATGTGCAACTTCTTCTTTATTCATTCATCCATTGATAGACACATACCTATATCATATCTTGGCTATTGTAAATAATGCTTCAGTGAACATAGGGATGCATACATGTTTTCGAATTCGTGTTTTCTATTTTTTGGATAAATACCTAGGAGTGGAATTGCTGGGTTGTATGGTAGGTCTGTTTTGAGTTTTTTGAAGAATCATCATGCTGTTTTCCATCATGACTGCACCAATTTGCAGTCCCACCAACAGTGCATGAGGGTTCCTTTCTCCACATCTTCGCCAACCCTTGTCTGTTGATTTATTGATGATGGGCATTCTGACAGATGTGAGGGGATATCTCATTGTGGTTTCCATTTGCATTTTCCTGATGATTAGTGACGTTGAACATCTTTTCATATGTCTGTTGGCCATCTGTGTTCTCTTTGTAGAATTGTCTATTCAGGACCTCTCCTCATTTTTTATGAATTATTTGTTTTTTGGGGTGTTAAATTTTAAGAATTCTTTATAAATTTTGGATATTAACCCCTTATTAGATGTATCATTGGTGAATATCTTCTCCCATTTGGTATGTTCTTTTTTCATTTTGTTGATGGTTTCCTTTGCTGTGCAAAAACCTTTTAGTTACAGTCCCATTTGTTTATTTTTTCTTTTGTTTCCCTCACCCGAGGAGATATATCAGAAAAAAAAATCACTAAGAGCAATGTCAGAGAATCATTGCCTAAGTTTTCTTCTGGGAGTTTTATAGTTTCGGGTCTTACATTTAAGCCTTTAATCCATTTTGAGTTTATTCTTGTATATGGTGTAAGAAGGTGTTC